AGAGGGAGAAGCAGACTCCCTGCTGAGCAGGTAGCCCGATGCGGTACTCGATCCCGAGACTCCAGGATCATGACCTGAGCCGAAGGCAGTCGCTTAACCAACTGAGCCACCCAGGCACCCCTATTTCCTGTATTTCATGCATTTTTATAGTCAACCAATTCAGAAAAGTGGGCAAATTGAATTCTCAAATCCAGCTTGCTGGAAGATAAATATAGAATCTGCAATGTCTTTCTTTTTCTGAATCCACATTATTCCTCTTGAAGGGACCATATTTCTTTCTATATGCATTTAAGTCACTCCTTAATACACAGGCATGTAATTTGGCTGCTATTGATAGGAGAACAATGTCCCTAATTTTCGATACCGTCTCTTCATTCTCTAGTGCACTTCTGATGAAACCGGCCACCCACTGTCTCACATTTGATTGGATCTCCGAATGACCATCAGCATCATCAACCACGAAATACATGCCAGTTTTTAACTCCCTGCTAGGTCCTCAAGATCTTAAAGTCTAAAACTTGGACCTCGCCCTCAAGGAGCTTACCGTTTAAAAAGGAAAAAAGCCAACTATGTCAAAACCGTCAACCTGCCTAGACAGACAACAGCATGGCAAGGCTGGGAGAGGGAGAAGTGGGGGTGCTTCTAGACACTTCAGGAGCTGCAGCAATACTTTTGTCTATTTTCTAGGACTTCCTGGTACACTCACTTGGTGCTGCACTACTCCCTTATAGTCTGTTAGGTCCTCATCTATGAGGGGACATTAGCATTGAATCACAGAATCTTAGAGCTGGCATGGAGCTTGGAGGTCATTTAATCCAACCCACTCATTTTAAAAACTGGCCATCTGAGACCCAACGATGTTAAACAGCTTGGCCAAGGTCATGCAGCTAGTTTAGTAATGAAATTGGAACTATAAACCATGTCTTCTGATAGCTGCTTTTTTCTGCTGCTACTCAAATTGATGGCAGTTTTAACCATTGGATCTAGCATCATTCATTTGTTCCTTCCCCAGAAAGAGCACCAGCCTGTGCAAGACTCGGTACTTGGCACTGGGGTTGATTGCAACATGGGTGTGCACAAGACCATGTTGTGTGTGTGTGGGGGGGAGGTCAAGTGACCATATAAATTAGCCTCTAAACTGAGACCCTTTGAAACAGAAAGGGTCTAAATTATAACTATATATACATCAAGTATAAACTAGGACGAGTGCCATGGTGGACATCGGGTCTGTGCAGGATACATACACGGTCTGTACAGGATACTGTGAGGGCACAAAGGTGGGAGGGGCCAATTCTACTGTGGGGGGAGGGGTGTCCAGTCAGGGAAGTCTTCTTGGAGGAGGTGGTGCTTGAAAGTTACTAGGGCTTTGATGTTAACCAAGAAGACAATGGGGGAAGGGCATTTCCTACCTCTGGCATGCTCTGGACATAGCAGGACAGCCAACAAAAGCTGAGCCTGCAGAGGTGGGGGAATTCTATCCTAGAGGACCTCTCCCACCATATTCAGCAAGCAGATGGGGGCGCAGTGACCTCCAGTCTCCCTTGGATCCCAGCAGGTATTCAGTCATCCAGGCAGCAGATATTTACTGAGGATCCATTAGGTAGCAGGCACTGCTGTAGGCCCTGAGAATACCGTGGATATGACAGGCAGGTGGCTGGTGCGTGGTCCGGCGGGGACCCTGGAGATGCACTGACTGTATTCCCAGTTCAGCTGCATCACGCAGTGAATATGTCACTTTGCTCAAGCCACAGAGCTCTTTGGGGTTCGGTTTCCTCATCTGTAAAATGGGGACGAGTCCCTCCTCGTAAGGTGGCCGTTACAGGATCTAAATGGGTTAACAGTCCCCATGCTAGAATAGCACCTGGACCATAGGAAGTGCTCTACGAGTTTGTGAAATAAAACCGAGCTCACAGTTAGCCGGGAGAACCACAGCAAATTAATTATCAGGAAAATTCTATAAAGAAAATAGGAAAACTTCTCCAAGGAAATGACCTTGGAGTTGAGATTGTATAACAGAAAGGAACATTCCAGAGAAAGGGAAGTGCTTGAGCAAAGGCGCTCAGTGAGAGCAGGCGTTCATGTAGACAAAAGGCAGCAAACCAGAGGGGCCTTGGCGGAGACTGGTATGAGATGGAGTCAGAGTGGTGAGGCTGGGTCATACAGAGCTTGCCACAAGCTGGAAGTATACTCTCAGGGCAGGGGCAGCCCACGGTGGTCATGAATGCAAGGAGATGACAAGGTCAAGTTTATATTTCAGAAAGAACTCTCATGCAAAAACAGAATGCTGGAGAGAAAATTCAGGTGTTCCGTGGATCACTCTGAGAGAATTTCAGGCTAGGGCCTCGGGCAGTAAGACTGGTATAGAGAGGAGAGAGGAGAGGTAGAGGACAACTTCCACAGGGTCTGGTCACACACGGGAGGGACCATGTGGGAAGTGAGGCAGAGGGAGGGGTCACTGCTGTGCTGCTGCCTCAGCTGCATTTGCTGTGCGCCCCCCGAAATGGGGAATCTAGAAGAAGCAGGGGCGGGCCAAGAGGATGGGATGAGACTGGGGCTCCACCAGGGCTGGAGTGGAGAACAGTCTGCACCCAGACCATGGGAAGCACATGATGGCCCACAGAAAGTGTAGGAGACCAGAATTGCAGGGATAGGGCTGCAGCTAGGAGGACTGTGCCCAGCCCTTTGAAGGTGCTCAGTTATTGCTTGAAGAGTGAATCAATGTAGGAAGTGTCCAGCCAAGAAAGAGGAGCCCGTGAAAATAGCTGAGAAGGAAAGACCAGAGAGGTAGGACCCAAAGAAGAAAAGCAGCATGGGGTAGAGTGTCAAGCAGGAGGGAGGGGTAAGATGCAGCTGGAGGACCACCCCTGGGTGGGGAACCATTATGACGTCACCTTTGACAAAAGTGTCAGTGCAGATGGGGGTGGAGGGGTGGGGTCAGAATGCCACGAGCTGAGAACGAACAGGAAAAAAAGATGGCAAGTGTACCCCTTTCCCTCATGAAACTCAGCTGTGAAAACAAGAGCAGAGGGAAGACAGGATGGGGCGGGGGTTGTGATGGGAAAGAAACGAGCTTGTCTTGGGGATGGAGAAGGCAGGGTGGTAGGCTTTGGAGCTCCAATCCCTTTCTCTCTGACAGAAGCCATGTCTTACTGCTCTGAACTTCTTTGGAGGGAGAAAGGGGTGGATTAGGGAAGCCTACCTTCTGTGACCCCTGGGCATGCCAGAGGTCAGTGAGGAAGGAGAGCTTGGAAGAGCCCAAAGCAGGCCACGATGGCCCCAGTTGACCAATAAACAGGTGTTTCTGCCTCCCTCAGGCTCAGCTCTGCTTCTCTCCCACCATTGCCCTTGGACTTTCTGCAAGGCCTGGCCCTCAGCCCTTAGCTCGTCCTTCCCTCCAAGTCCTCATTTATTCTCCTAACTTTGAACATCATCTAGGTGGGGGGAACTCCCACTGCTATTGCAGTCCTGACCTTCCCATACCACCTGGCCAGCAACTTCACACTGTTGGAGCTTCCCCTGGACTCTCCTGTGGGGAACGAGGTCTCCTGCATGTTCCTCCCCTCCAAACTGGCTCAGGCTATGCTCCCTCCTCCCCAGGCCCTCCTCTGCCCCCAAACATGTGCCCTCCTGCTGCCCCATGTGGATTCCCAAAGTGCTGGAAACCACCCACCCAGTTTGGCATTTGCTGCATGATCTTTTGGGTTTTGGAAATCTCCAGTGAGTATCTCGTTCTCCCTCCTGGGGATAAGCCCCCTGAAGACTGGGGCTTCCGTGTGACGGTTTCCTCCGCTGCATCTGGAATCAGCCCTTGGAAACAGCCATTTCCTCATTAATGCTCGTGAAGGTAATGAATGTGAGAGGAGGCCACTGGGTAGGGGCCGAGGGCATAGGAACCAACTAGAGGGCTTGCCAGGAAAGAGGTGGAATTTGTGAAGTAACTGTCAGAGGAGGACATCGCAGGCCCCAAGTATTGGCAAGGGAGTGAAGACTCAAACGGGATGAAATGATGGAAGAGGCCATTGAGTGACTTTGTCAGGAAGGCCCATCCTGCGGGTGGTGGCGATGGGAGAGGAAGAGGAAGTTGTTGGTGTGTTTAGCCAGGGATGGGAAATTGGCTGGTTGCCGGCAGCCGTGAGAGGCTCTAGAAAGGACGGGTATCCTATACCTGAGGGAAGAGATAGGGCATCTGTGGCACCAGGGCTGGGCACCCCACTCTGTCAGCAGTTGCTAGAAGCTGGTAATGGGGAGGGTTGATGGCCACAGACTAGACTGAGGCAATGACGGAGGAGTGGAGTGGGAAGAGTGGAAAGGAGGCAGAGAAAGACCCGTGTTTGGCAGAGGGCATGGAATGAGGAGGGTGGAGGTGACTCATATAGGCAAAGCTTCACCCTGTGAGTGGGAGTTAAAGCCTGAAGAGAGGCTGATGAACACTGCATTTCTTGGTGGTCCTCATCCAACTCCATTCAAAAGGGTTGAAGAGGAAGGGTTGGAGAGGCCTCACGGGTGGTCTTAAGGGAGAGTAGTGGTGTCTTCCTTCCGTGAAGTTGAAGGGGCCAGCCCTCCTCACCTCATCCAATGCATTCTGGAGGGGGGTTGTGACTTAGGTTTGACCCGGCAGACCTTCTCTTTCAGGATGTTGATCCTGAGCCAGGCGAAGCTCCCTGGCTTCCCACCAACCCAAATGTGGTCCTTCAGCCCCCCAGTCAGTTCTGAGAGCCAGCTCCCTCTGCAGATGCGCATACTTAAATTCCTCTCTGCTTTGGTTAGCTGGGGTCCCTTTCTGTTGCTCGCAACGAAGAACTCTGACTAAATCTGAGAGTTCAATCCTGTAGACTAGAGGTTGAGGATGCTGTCAGATTCCTGTGCGGATGTGGAGTCCAAGGAGGAATTCAGAAGAACCGCAGGTTGGTTCATCATTTTAGTTTCCTACGTGCCCCATACTGTATGCCAGGTACGGAGGATAGAAAGACAAACGGGACAGGCTCCAGTCTTAACGTAAGCAGGTGAGTGTGTTTTCGTTTGAGTTCACCCAGAAGCAAAACTCAAAACAAGGGTTCAAGTGCAAGTAGTTGATGTGGGAAGTCCTAGGGAGCACTGATAGGGAAGTGGGGGCTAAGACAAGGAAGAGAAGAAGGCCAACAGAGGTGCATCATCAAGCAAGCTACTACAGTGAGTTACAGGAGCTCAGCCTGGCTAGGGCCTCTGGGAGACGGTGTAGAAGAAGCCTCACAGTTTCATTTACCCACCAACTGCCATCTGTCATCGGTGGACGGTGGCCTCCAGAGGCCATGAGCTCCCCAGCTCTTCCAAGGAGTTCGGGCAGAGACATAGAATGTGTGTTGCTGAGGAGCCGCGGGTGGGCCATCCCATCCAGGGCTGTGGAATGCAGTGGAGGGAGGGTCCTATGGGTTCGAGAGAGCTGGGACACGGACGGGATGGTGGGCATCAGAGGAGAGCGGTCAGTTCCAGAGAGAGAATGTCCTCAGACTTGAGTGACATTCTCCACTAAGGCTCTCTAGGCATGATGTGTTTTGAACTTGAACTTGCAGATGTGGTAAAGGAAGGCCAGCTGGAAAGAGAACCTGTTGTGCCAAGGTCCGACCCCAGGAGGAGGCAGCCTGAGCAGAGGCAGCCTGCTTGGCTTAGAGGTGGGAGGAAGGTGGCAGGAGAGGGGAGCCCCCCCATAAAGCAACATCATCTCACCGACCTCCCTGGCCTTCACTGGCTGCCAGAGATGCCCTTTAAACTTTTATTGGGGCGCCTGGCTGGTTCCATTGGTAGAGCATGCAACTTTTGATCTCAGGGTTGTGAGTTCAAGCCCCACATCGGGCGTAGAGATTACTTAAATAAATACATTGAAAAAAAATACAGGTGAGGTTGTGTTCCTGCTCTATTAACACAGAGAAGGCTGCCTGTGTTCTGTGACAAGTGTGAATGAAGTGCTCAGAGGGCTGCTGGCTGCTCGGAAGGCTGCAGAGG